TAGTAGTAGTACTCCCTTTTTGAAAAGGGGGGTGTTGAATCTCTCGTCCTGCTGATATTTGTTCCATGAGGGTCCCGGGAATCCAGTTTTTCCCCAAAATGAATCTGGGTCGAATACGAGTACTGGTATCCAAACCAAACCAAGCAAACGTCAGCAAGAATTTGAATTTTTGACACCGCCGTACCATACTGTACTTACTACGGTCGGCCGTACGGTAGAGAACTCCTACGGAAGTTGCATCACAAATCGGACGAGTTCTGCTTTCGATTTCAACTTGATTGAAAATCGGTCAGTCAAAGGMGTGGATTGCTTGAAATCTATCGGATGCGACACAATACGGTGCCAAGATACAACCGCAAGAGCATTTTGCTCCGATTCAATCTTTCCTCTCGAGTTTATCGCCAACGTCACAATGATTTGCGGCTTGAACCGCTCCATRCTATCGGTGCTTGTTGCAGCAGCATTGGCTGCATCCAATAGCGCCTTTGTTGTCACGGGCTTTGTTCCGGCCAAATCGTCTTCGCCCGTCTCCAAAACGACACCATTGGCGCCGGCTTCTCGAACTCCCAGGCAAGCGGCAGAACGCGGGCGAGATCCTCGCCGATGCGGTCCATCGACGGTCGAGGCAATCGGGGCCGGCGGTGCCCAGCAACGAAGGAAACYAACCCGCCACTTTGCCTGGCCGATCTCCCGAGATCCCACCGGCGTCACGAGCGATTATCCGTTGACCATCACCAGAATCGCCATCACCGTTGCTAGTTGCTACCTGACGTGGTATGCCCAGACGCAGTATTCCAATGTCATGGCCTCGGCTGCCGTGACGCTGGTTTGCAGCATGGTGTTTGACAAGCGACTGGGCCAGGCCGCTTTTTGCGGATCCTTCGCCGGCATGTGTTCTCAGGCCGTCATTCCCACTAGAAACCTAGCGCTCGCGCTGGGAGGCATCACGTCGCTTCTTTACGAAATCTTCATCCACGCGCAAAACGCCTTTCTGGGAGTCGGCGGACGATTGGGAGCCACGGCGTTTTTGGCTACCTCCGCCGTGGCATACAAAACCGGAGTCAAAACCGGACTGGGACGCCTAACGCTGTTTGGTGGAACCCGTGCGCTGAAACTATCGGCGCTGAGGTGGGAATCGACGATCGCTCCGTTTGCCTTCTGGCACGCCGTGGGGGCGGTAGCCACCATCGTGCTGCGAGAAGTTAGCGACGACAGCGCCGCCGCCGATCCCGTCCGGGCCAGCGCMGTGGTGGGGCTTGCCGGAGCGCTCTTGTTGCCGAACGACGCCGCCGCAGCCCTCGCCGTRTATGGAGGAAGTTTTGTCGGAATGTCTCTCCCTTCCAAACTAATGGGATTGAGTGCACTCGACTTGTCGCACCGGTTGTTCACCCTTGGCAACGTTGTTTCACTGCTRTTGGCCTTCGCCCTTTCGGGGGCACTTTCCGGAATTGTCCACGGAGCAACAATCGATTGGAAACTATGGCAAGGAGGCTGGGGAGGAAAGGCCGGAATGTGTGCCTTTGTTGGCTGCATGACGTATCGTTCCGTGACTACTCTACTCGGAAAACTCACGCGAGAAAAGCGTTAGTAGTTGGATAATGAATGATAATGGTCACTCCCGTCAAGGTAGATTCAAAATTAGATTTCAGTCATTTCCTGTCTGTGTACCAGGCCAGATTTGTGCTTGGATCAGATATAACGTTTCTATTTAGGCATACTAGTTTCTGATTAATTTAATCGATTGTGGATCGAGTACGGATAGTGAGAAGGACCATCTTAGTTTTCAGTACTCCACAGATTTGTCTGTCCATGATTTCTTTTTACTGATAGAAAACAAAGACAGTATCTGCACTAGAAGACATACTATAAATGCAAAAATCAAACCCACTATTGAACCAGGTATTAGACTTTGTGGCAGCACTCTCTTTGTCTAATTTTGATTGAGGAATGAGGTCAAATGAGACCATAGCAGTGCTTTAGTACTGCTGGTACTAGACTTCCAATATGCACATAACTTGTCTATGGGAGGAATAATAGGCCTCATTTACACTGACCATGGAAACTTTCATAAGCAGTTGAGGTGATAATGATCTCAATTGTTCCAATTAGTGAATTCATTTTAATTGGAATCGACATTCAGTGCAAACATACCATCCAAAGAATGAAGAACATTTTTGGTCAAAGTAGTGGAACACTAACAATTGGTGRTTATCTGGATKCTGCGGCTACTATTCAGAGATATGCCTAGCCAAGCATATTACTTCAAATCCTCTGGTGCAGCATTAGCTACCACTATGCTTTTCAATGTTGACCATTTTGTCTCTCCTGAAGGTATCATCTGGTGAAGAGCCCCTSATTGCACATTATTTAATATGCATGTACACATTKACAKAGACTGTTCTGATAGTAGCATGCCACACTCTGCAAACCTTTTGCTTCAATAAACTTTTAACTCCTCACAGGCAGTAAACTTTATTTTTGGCTTATCCTACTAAAAAAAGAAAGTTTAAATGCCCCCTTCTTCTTTTGAGAAAAGACTGAGTTGGAAACTGCTGTTCAGATACCCCTCCCTCACAGTTGAATCCACAACAAGTGTGCAAAAATATTTAAAACACACCACAATGAATCTACTAGTATTTTYCCCTTCCATTCTTCCATTGAATCAACAAACAATTGCAACCAATATCTTCTTTTTTCTGCTTTCGTTGATTGAACAAACAATATCAAGAAATATCTCCTTTTATTTTCTCTTCTCATTAATCAATTTAATCATTTTGCTTCWAAAAGCTGTAARGAAGGATRCTAATTTCTGATTATCATTCTGTTTGCCTTTTGTGTTTCAGTGGTTCTCCTTATTGTTTTGCTCTACTTCTCTATTTTTTTCTGGTGACCAAATACATGTGATTTTGTAAATATTGAGTCTTCAGCACATAATTCCATTATTTGCAAAAGTCAATTTATTTGCTCWTCCAAATTGCTTTCTGACTCTCTTCATCACATGCAGGTTGTCATCCATTCTCCCATGTCTTCAAGGCTTTTCCAATTTTACTAGTAGTATCAATTGCAACCATTTGTGTTGCTAATGCATTCTTCAGTTTAGTTTTATTTGAAGAGATTCTCAATAAAGAGGACAAGATCCCACTTGAATGTATTGATCATCAGCAATTTGACCATCTGTATTGCCTTTCTTTCCTTTTTCTTTGTCTTCTGTCATCTGCATCCTCTGCYTGTGTACAGAAAACTTGTCATGAGTTTTTCTTCAACATCTCACGACTTCAATTGCAAGCAAGATGTCCATTTTGGGTCTACTACTAGGTAGTACATCATCCAAGTTCAAATGCAATTGGTTGATATTTTAGCCTGAAATGTTATCATTTATCTGCTTACTGCTTTCAATGCATCATCATGCTACTCATTCAGCAATCTTTCTACTTTCAAGAACTCATCAATAGAGCATACTGCTTCATATTCTGAAGGAAGAAGCCCTATTGTGTGATATTCTTGTTTTCCATAGTTTTGCTTTCTTGTTCCTTATCAGCAGCAGACATTAGAACAAGTTGCTGCAGCAGTGTTAGAATATGTTAAATTRCTAGTTCTTTCATTAGAATCACTSCTTCCTCCTTGGCCTGTTCCTAATCAGCAACACTATTTTGCTGCAACATTTTAGTACAAAAATGCAATATTCAACTAACTTTGTTCAAAATGAACATATTATGAATTGAGGAACTGCATCCATACTATATAAATTTCATGTATCAAAGGCTTCCTGCTGRTCAATAGCTCCAGCAGATACTGTGGCAGTTCAAATGCAAACTATTTTTCTTTGCTTTCATTGAACATATCTAGTATTAGTAGTACTCCTCTCTTCTTGAAGCAAAGAAGTGTTGATAATTTTGCCAATTCTGCTATCAATGATTGGAGTAGGGCCCCATAAGGCCCTTAATCACCTTCTTCAACACAAACCAGCAGTAACTACTACTAAACAAGTGTTTAATATCTCTTTTATCACAAAAGATTGTGTGAAAGGTGTCTTGACACTTTAGGTACGTAATGATTCATATTTATTACACTTTAAAACAAACCTGTTCTACAAGTTATTTTGTGCATAGTCATCACTTACARCATTCTCATGTGTAAAAAGAGACACCACCAACAGTCAAAGATACCATCAACAATGGTTAAATCCAACAACAGGAAGGATCAACAATCATGCCTCACATTGAAGGATGACTTCMAATTGGACAAACTGAAGACAGTAACCATCTTAGTGAGTCACAACAGCAATGCAATGAAACTCTCAAGAAGCTGTGTAGTTTTCTCTGGAAAGTTTGGCCTCCAAGAACTATTCTATATTCAGGAASACTTTGAGGATGCAATACTGGACAATCTAGACTTGAAAGGAGTGCTGATTGATCAGAAGTGGTGGTAGATGGTCCTTACTCATACACCAAGGATCAAGTTGTTGGACATCCTGTGGAAAGGAGAYGAACCCTTGAGCCTTGGAAGAACCAACAAAATGAACTGGGAGAAGGCTCCAGGAAGAAATATGCCCCACCAGGGAAYGGCACTAGAGACAATGTCATTGATTACCTTGACTCAGATGCAACCCAGAAAGCACKCACTGGGAGTATCTTGCCAAGCTCATGAAGACAGGATCCTAGTAACTCCTCCATGGAATTGAAGACAATTTGTTTGACCTAGAGAAAAAGGAAATCATATTCAGATCCTTTTCCAAACCTTGGCAGGATGGATCCACTCTTAGTGGCAGATAAGTTTTAGAGGAAACAGTGGACCAAATAGTCCAATACATGATAGCTGGTGAAGAGTCCTCAAGTAGGAAGTGAGCATCCAAGAGCAATGATTGGCAGAGTAGAATTGAAGAAATGACAGAAGAAAGAAGTCCTTTGAAGCCCAGAGTAGTTAAAACTAAGGGGAAAGACACGAAGGTTTYAAAAACATACTAGCCAAATAYGCACCAGAAGCATTTGACGGCAAACTTGTCTGGTCCCTCCATGAGCAGATTCACATTGATCTGATCCCAGGGGCTAAACCCATATAAAAATTATCCAGTTCCTTACAGCAAACA